CCAAGAGATTATTCAAATTGCAGGTTGTTGCGAGTGATTTTTGAACAATTGAGTTCAGTGAATTGAGTTGGGTTTGATGGAACTGGTTTGATGGAACTTATTTGCTGGTCGAACCCAGATTTGCCGGATTTCGTCGAACTTCATAACCGATTGCAATTGTTAGTGGTGATGTGGGACCCATTTGAATGAATTTAGTGTGTTTTCGCCAGCTAGGATGTGACATGGCAAAAGTTTTTGCCACGTCGTTACTTTTTTAAGTTTTGCTCTCCACGTCATCAAAAAAAATATAAAAAATGTCACCTAAGCAAGGTTAACGGCTGAAATTAACAGAAGGACTAACGGAGTGCATTTCATATAGTTGAGGGATCAAAAAAGTGCAAAAAATTGTTGAGGGATCAAAAATGTTCATTTCTTAAAGTTAAGGGACCAAATTAAGCATTTAACCTAAAAATTTTCATTTTCTTTCCTTCAAATTGTACCTGTTAGAGAAAAAAAACAAGAAAGAGAACAAATATGTTGATTCAAGAGTTAATTTGTCTGTTTTTAGTCTCTGGAGAACCATAACATAAATTCCTTTGTTTTTTTTTTGCATCCATGCCACAGAATTTCTGCACCATTTTTATTTCAACTTGCATTTTTTGAGATAAATTTACTTTGCTCCTGAAATATGCACCCTCTGAGTCTGAAATCACTATTTTGTTGAACTCTTTTGGGTAGAGTAGAATGTTTTGTCTGTAGAAATAGGGGGAGAAAATGAACTACCCGATAATGACATTAAATGTTATATCCACACCTCCATTAGCTATGTACATTTCCTCAAGATGTGCAAATAAACAAGAAAAAGGAAATTTTAACTCTCAATTTAGATGTAGATGTAGAATGGTTCAGGATTTTATCCACTGTTATTAGGTGTAGTACTGCTGCTAACCCATTTATCAATCACTGAATCTGGTGAACGTAGCTGCCGGATGTTCTTCAACAGTGCAGCCTCATCATAGGTTGGTGGTGAAGGTGGTGGCGGTTCACCTTTGACCTCCAGAGTGCGGAGCTGACCTTCCACATTATCTTGCTTGGGATCTCCTCCTTGTATTCTCTTCAGTTCCTCCAGAACTTCATCCATTGTAGGTCTCATTTCCTTCTCTTTTTGCAAGCATTGAAAAGCCAGCTCTGCAACTAAGGTTGTCATCCTTCTAATATCCTCGTCTGACTTGTATCCAAGAGTTGGGTCAATCAACTCATCCAGTGCACTCCTTTGAATTTTGTTTATTGCTAGATTAGCCAGATTGATCTCATGCCTGTGCCTGCTGATATCAACAGCAGGCATTGACGAAATGAGTTCAACTAGGACAACTCCAAAGCTGTAGACATCACTCTTCTCTGTGAGCTGATAACATTGGTGATATTCTGGGTCAACATATCCAGGAGTTCCCTGTGGAGCTGTTGAGACATGAGTGACATCGTTGGGGAACAACCTGGAGAGTCCAAAATCTGCTACCTTGACACAAAAGTTACTGTCAAGGAGAATGTTGTTAGTTTTGACATCACGATGGATGATATCAGAGGCATGGAGGTAAGCTAATGCACTTGCAGTTTCTATGGCAATGCTCATGCGAACAGGCCATAGAAGTGACCCAGGTTTTGCTCGATCTCCATGGAGATGATCAGCAACAGTGCCATTGGGAACGAATTCATAAACAAGGAGAAGTTCACGGCTGTGGTGTGAAGTGCAGCCATAGAGGGAGACAAGATTTTTGTGGTGCAAGCGGGTTAGGATTTCAACTTCATTCATGAACTGCTTTACACGTTTGTAGTTGTGCTCATACAGGCGCTTGATTGCAACTTCTCTCCCATCTTTGAGTTTTCCTGGTTCAATAGAGAAACCCAATTTAACAAACTACCAATCCTTGTAACTGTTTATCATTTTGCTTATCATCTGGTTATCTCATTTGTATACTTGATATTTCAATAAGAAAAGAGGATGTTTTATTCTCACCATGGTACACAGTCCCAAATCCTCCATCTCCAAGTTCCTTTTTCTCATCAAATTTATTGGTGGCCTTTTCAAGTTCATCATAAGAGAATATTGGAACTTCAAAGCAGACGTTGCCCCCTTCCGGGTCTGTTGTCGAAGTGTTCCCTTTTTTAAAGCTTGAAGAGCCATATTTCTGTTTGTAGGTGCGACGCCATATGATAAAGATAGACAAGACTATTAGAACAACAGTTGGGCATGCAATTCCTGCAGCACAAAGAATTTAGTCAATTCTAATTTAGAGGAATTCTTCTCGAGTGAAACATATACCGCCGAGAATTTGAGATTTTGAAGAGATATGTTTACCAAGTCCTAGCTTCAATGCTAGTTTTCTATTCCCTGCAATGAAATTACAAAGAGCTACTTAGTAAAAGAAGAAAGGTGTGCAGAAACTAGTTATTCTCTGAACGGTTCAAAAAGAGAATGTGAAAGAACAAATACAAACAC